TGGGTCATAGTTTCAGTTATGACCTAATTTCTTCCGCATAGTTGTGAATTTTATAAGTGTGACGAAATTTGTTGCTTTAGTTAAAAGAAGGATACCCTTATCGGCTCCTCTAAGTCATGATGCTAGTCCAAAACACTTGCCTCATGTGCGCTTATTGTCAGTTAACAGAACAGCCAGTCTTAAGAAGCTATTTGTCTTTTTATCGGTTAACTATTACTTTTTGTCAGTCCTTACAAAACACCTTTTTATTAACCGCCCATCCTTCTCCGAAGTTTGTAGACATCTGGAGCAAATCGCTTTCATTGATTACTACTTTCAAAAACTAGGCTTGAGAAAACATTGTATGTTGAACGATTTGAACATTTCTAAAGATCACCTAGTCTTGGAAAAGACCTGAAAAATGACTAGCTTACCTCGAGAAAATTTTAGATTACATTTCTTAGCAAAGTGAGGTAATGAAGAGATTTTCCCCGAACTCGTACATTTCTATTCGCATCCTCTGCATTGCTCTTCCTTCTTCTTTGATTTGTGGATGACACTAATGCGCTCAGAGCGCGAAATTACACAGCAACCAATGAGAAATTTCTCTTAATGTCCATGTACATGCATAAGTTCAGAAGTCCATGTTTTTATATATTCAATTTGAGAAAATTGTAGATCACAAAATATTGCAGGTTCGTGAACTTCTGGCCAAAGCTGAACGTATTCTTCATCCAAGTAATGTATACGTATGTCGATTGCGTACCGCTTTATTTCACTTAACGGGATCGTTGGACACAAATATCGGCATGTTGCATAAGCAGATATACGAAAATTACAAATTGTAAGAACTTTTCTCAAATTTTTAGCTACAAAAGTTCTCAAGCAGAGATAAACTGCTTCAGATGTTTCCCGGAGGCAGATCGTCATGTTGGCTACCAGCTGCTCCACATTGTCAAGGGTCTTATTGAAAATGGCAAGAGGAACGAGGTATATCGGCTTCAGATTTATCACTAACTATTTTTTTTTGAAATTTTCGCATACTTGTAATGACAGATTTTGGTTCGTAAAACCTACTTTTTTAAAGAAAAAGTGTTTAAACGCTTAGTGAAATATAAGCTTAGACTAGATAAGAATAGAAGCCTTTAAGGTTTGCACTTAGAGCAAG